GGCCGGGGACCGAAGTTCATCGAGGGGGTAACTTCGCGTTGGGGCATGGCAATGAAGGCCGACTCCTCTTGTCTGGCGTACTCGATAGCCAACTTAATGGAGGCTGGTGGGGTACGAACGAATTGGCGCCTTACATCAGGACTAATTTCACCTTCAATGAAGATGTCCAGAATCTTCGATTCTAAATCGACATAGCTGGCATCTGGGTAGGCTTTGCTTGCCAAAACGCGGTCATGGCTTTGGTATTCGCCTGCTGACTCTCCTGTCAGTTGGCGCCTGACCCTTAGGGACCTCCGGGCGGCCCACGGCGTCGAGGATACGCCAAATTCTCGTCGTAGACGCTCGAAGATAGTGGCCGTGGCTAGGGAGGACGAAATGTTAAACGCCGTCGCTACGATCAGCACTTGGTCGTCCAAACATTCGAGGACGGCTGTTGAACGAATTCCTTCGCCAAGTGTCTCGATGAAGGACTTCATACGGTTCTCCCAGAGATCGTAATTGTCTAACTCGGAGAATTAGTTCGGCCGCATGATCCGCGACGCCGACAATTTAACCTTCTCAATAGCCGTTACTAATCTCGCTAGTAGCTCTTCGGCATTCATCTTCACCACTGCCACCAAAATGCAGCAAACCGAGGTGATTAACGGGCGACTACGTTCGACTATAACCCGAACGACAACAACGAACGTGATTACCAGATGCAAACCACCGAATATAACCCAAGTAAGAACAAGGCCTGTTAAACAAAGAATAAAAATATATATCTTTAGTACTAAGTTAAGGACTGGTGTATTAGTCTTGGATTTTAACAACGTCGAAGGGGTCCTTTGGCAGGGAGATTGGCTATCCTGGTCCGGGTATTCGGAGATAACTTCGAGAAGACGTTTGGTGGCGTCCTCCAGCAGATATGTTCATTCTTCCAATCGTGGAGTATATATGGAGGGGTGAATAGGGGTGAAGTCAAACAAAAAGGGGTCTGAACCAATGGAAACGCGTAAATTATACAAAAGTCAATAGCATAAGCTCGCTAAACTTATCGCTTTTAGCAGAACATTCATAAGCCGATCGTTCAGCCAATAGGATTTTGCCTAGCTCACACCGAAGTGCACTCGCCACAAGTACCAAGAAAGTCGACTGCCATCTTGAATAACCACCGAAAGTTTATGAAATAAGGGAAAACTGACTCCATCCATCTGCTAAACGCATAAGAAATGTGAAATACAAAAATTCCAGATGTGACAAATAACTAGTAGTAACTAAGCTACTACACTAAGACGATGGGAAAACTGTAAAAATTAATAACCAGTAATATAAATGGTTACGATACGTCTCACTGGAGCTAGAAGCCTTTTTTTCTGCAGTTGCCGGAAACTTGACTTGCAATGAAGAAAAGTTAACAAAAATTGCTGGCCGACTTCAGCCATTAAAATCCGCGAGTCGGTTGCGTTCCAGAGACAAACCGTTGATCCTGAGCCCGAGAGTGGTCGCAACAGCGTCGTTCGACAGGGAAGGAAATGCAAGAAATGCAATATGACTGCAGAAGCACGTGCCACGCAAGAGTTGTCCGAAAAAGTGTGTTTTATTTTGAAAGTGTACAAACAAAACGCATAGCAAATTTCAACAAAATGTAAATCGGATTACGTGCCTAAAAAATTAATAGTACAAGGACCTACAACAGTCCCTACTTTGTATAGGGAATAGCAAACAATCGTTTTTTTTGCTCACAAACTGATCTCAACACGCTTATGTATTTTTTCATGCAGACTACGAAACTCCTTGTATGACGGTTTAACGCCGGACATTTTTGAAATTACAAACGCTGACCTATAATAGATCAAAAGGCGAGGTACAATTTTCGCTTAATCAAAACTTTTCCTTGTATCTTTTAAGGCAACGAAAGATGTGATTATGTGCCCATAGAAAGGTTAGTCGGAACATCGATGACAATTGTTTCCCTGTCGTAGTCATCACCGCTCGCCAATAATATTCAAAAAACCCGCTTGGAACAAATAACTAATCATCGTGCCTTGCCAGCGGCCAATAAAAAATCGCGCGGTGACTAAAGATCCCGCGACTTAGTCGGATTGCTCACCTCTTTACCTTGGCTGAGAATGTCTACTGGCGTTTTTCGACATTTAAAAGAGGGTATGTGTCAGACTTTTCGCTTTTGCGCAGTTTGGAAAGTACATTCTGCACAGCTTTAATGTCTTCGAGCTTTTGCCTATCAACAGTTAAAAAACCTTTCGAGTAATACGAATATAGCTATAACCCCTAATAGCAATTGCTAAGCTCCGTACGGATCTCCGCTATCCTAACGCTGGTTTGAAAACACTCGTGGTCC